GACAAGTCTACAGTAAACCACACTGCTATGCACATCTGTGTACATACATCCTGGTATGATTGACCCAATGTCTCATGAGACTAATTCCTTTAAATGTATATGCTGGTCAAAGTGCATGTACATTTCAGTGTGTGTGTTCTCAAGTACTGCTAAATTCCATCTAAAAAAGTGACACTAATTTATTCTTTGATCAGCATTACTTGGGGAATATTTGCTTTTTTTTTCCTTTCAAAACTGTAATTGGGTAATGCCAAACAAAGTAAATAAACAACTCTTAGAGTGCAAAATGAAAGCACCTTATTGCGTACAGGTGCAAAAGTAAGAAAACAATATAAACTTACCCATATTTTAAGTAGTTGTGGGTAAATGCCCTTTAAAAACATTTTCAATAGAAAAGTGACTTATAAGTCAGTTTACAGAAGATGAAAAAAAAATCAGTGCTTATTTATTTTTACTTATTTATTTATTTTAAAAAAAATATATTTTATTGATCTTTTACAGAGAGGAAGGGAGAGGGATAGAGAGTTAGAAACATCGATGAGAGAGAAACACCAATCAGCTGCCTCCCGCACACCACCCCCCACTGGGGATGTGCCCGCAACCAAGGTACATGCCCTTGACTGGAATCGAACCCGGGACCCTTGAGTCTGCAGGCCAACGCTCTATCCACTGAGCCAGACCGGTTAGGGCAGTGCTTATTTATTTACTTGAGAGAGAAAAAAACCATCAATGTTGTTCTATTTATATTTGCAGCAAATGTTTACTTTCTAATCTTGGTTTTTTCCCTTAAGAAACAATTGTTACCCGTTTGATAGGTGAAAAAATTTTAATTTGAAGTTATTTTTTTATTATTATTAGGTAGGTTTAATTTTTATCTTCACAAGGTTTTGGCCATGTGTATTTCTTTGAGTTACTTGTTTGCACATTTTTTAAAAAGGAAGTTCTGTCAACATAAGCATTTTAGTTTAAGTATGACTTGGCAGATGCCTTAGTCCATTTTGAACCAAAAGGAACCATACGTAAAGAATTTATTCAAGTGGCATACCTTGTTGTTTGCAAAGGTCAGTATTGACTTGGGAGCCAGGAAGTTGGGCACAGCCTGTGTTGTTAGCCCAGGTGGATGGGTAGACTCTTGATGCCTCCCTCCAGCTGCCGGCTGTAACTCGGTGCGGTTTTCCGGTCTCATCTGTGTCTCGTTGATGTCTGTAGCCATGTCAGTATGTGGGTTGAGAGTGAGTGGGTTTCTCTATCCATTGTGATATATCAAAAGACTTTAATCCAGTGGTTCTCAACCTTCTGGCCCTTTAAAACAGTTCCTCATGTTGTGACCCCCAACCATAAAATTATTTTCATTGCTACTTCATAACTAATTTTGCTACTGTTATGAATCGTAATGTAAATATCTGATATGCAGGATGGTCTTAGGCGACCCCTGTGAAAGGGTCGTTCGACCGCCAAAGGGGTCGAGATCCACAGGTTGAGAACCGCTGCTTTAATCCCAAGTAAGTAAAAAATAACTAATACAGACTGACAGTGTTAAAGACCAACTACTCCATTTTCCTTATCTTATCATGCTGACAAATGTGACAAAAATATCTCTTAAACATTTTAAAGTAAAGCAACTTATATTATTTTGGTGTGTAAGGTTTAATTTTTGCACCATGATGCTCTCTCTCCATAATATATCACTTGGGCGGGGGGGGGCTACTCTTTCTCTTTATTTTAAAGGGAGAGGAGTGTGTATGTGTGCCCTGAGGGTGAGTGTGACAGTGAGTTTTGAAAAGGAGTCTGATATGACATGGGTAACCTCTCTAGAATGGTGCAAATAGTTGTTTTAGTAAACAGCCATTTTTTGAATAAACTCACTGGGGGTACTTATGGGATAGTGACAATATTCTCCTTGGCACTTATGGTGAGTAAATAAACTAACTGCAAAGCCCCTTCCAGCATGGTTCCTGTCACATAGTAGGTGCTTATTAAATGATGGCAGTAATACATTTGTGTATAATGTATTCTTTCATTCATCCCATAGTCATTTATTGAGAGCCTACTCTTTATCAAGTGCTGGTCAAGGTATTGTAGGTACTGCGGGGAGTGAAAAGGCTAAAATGTCTTCTCCTCCTGGAGTTAATACTCTGCTGTAGGGAGACAGTCACTAAGTAAAATAAGTACGTAGATGATCTCATACTTTAAAAGAGCATAATTGCTTTGAAGAAAAGTGAATTGGGGGGATGGGCTGCAGATAGGGAGAGATGGCTTTGCAGTTTTAGCTAGGATGGTCAGAGGAGGGATGGGTAAGTATAGGTCAAGCAGATCTGGGGTTCAACCCATATTTACTACTAATTAATTGAGCGACTTTGGGAAAATTATTTAACTTTTGATCCTCAGTGTTGATGTGTTAAAAAAACAAACACGAATCTGCGGCCTAGGGTTAAATGAGATAATATGGAAAGTGTGTAGCATTATCCCTGTATGGTTAGTGTCCAGTAAGAGGGGCATACCCTGGCAGTAAGGCTCTAGACACAGGCTTGCCCAACGAGTGAGAGTGGAGGGGGAGCTTTTTGTTTCAGAAGGATGGCTGCAGTAAAGGGTTAGTGTGGGTGGGAAAGAAAAGACGTGACAGGAGTCTCGGCTGTGTGTGTAATGGAAGCATCGAGGTTCTTCCTTCCTACAGGGGAAGTAGACGACTTCTTTCGTCTGCTTTGCTTCTGACAGGTCTGTTACCAGTTGATGCTGTAATTTTATTTCAGTGCCTAATCAAATATTTTATAGTCTAGTTTTGGGGAAGTAAAACATGTATATATGTATATGCAAAGTTAAAGATAGTTGCTAAATAGATTTTCTTTAAAAGGAAGGAATGTTAAGTGCTGGAGGCACCTGGGAGAAGGAATTGGCTGAGATCGGGTGATCAGGGAAAGCTGCTTGCAAGTGTAGATTTGATTTGACTCTTGAAATATGGTTGGGTTTTTGGTCTTTTTTTTTTTTTTTGAAGGATACTGATATTTTCCGTTATGTTCCATAGTACCTCAGGCCTGACAGGTGCCCTGGATAGGGAAGTGTTTAAAGGTGAGCTGAGTTTGCAAAAGCATCATACCCTATCACCTACTTGGAAGTTAATGCATCTTGTTTACTCACTAACTTCCTGTCAGCCCTGCAGTGAAGAGACCTGCTGAACTGTGGCGCCTGCAGGACTGGGCGATGTGCACAGCAACCCAGGAAGCCAGGGGTTAGGGTGCTGTCAGCTTATTCTTCCAGCTCTGTCTTCAGGGAATAGAGCTGTCACTTGTCTTTGTGTTCATATTTGCAAAGCATTTGGAGATCATTCAGCATATTTACCATAGCTCTTCAAGTTTAGGAGAAAAAAATTACTCAAGCTCAGATAGAAAAATAACTAATGCGGATTACACAGTTTTTAAAAAAATATATGTTTTTATTGATATGTATATGTATGAGAGAGAGAGGGTAAGGGACAGTGAGAGAGAGAAACAACAATGAGAGAGAAACTTCAATAGGCTGCCTCCTTCAAGCCTCCTACTGGGAATCCAGCCCACAATCTGGGCATGTGGGGTGACCAGGAATCGAACCAGCGACCTCCTTTACTAGTACATTTATATTTAGAGGGAGAGAGAGAGAAACATCGATGAGAGAGCATCAACATCATTCAGCTGCCACCTGCACACCCCTTGATGAGGCCCGAACCCACAACTTGGGCATGTGCCCTGACCAGGAATTGAACCAGTGACCTCCTGGTGCATAGGTTGACCCTCAACCACTGAGCCACATTGGCCAGATGGATTACACAATTTTGGATAACAATTTTCATCTTTTATTTTTTCTTTCATCTGTTGCTTATTTATTTTGTTTCTTTGAAATGATTTTATATAGTATCTCTATATATAAAAGGCTAAGTGACCGGCTGTCTGACTGCCCAACCGACTGACCAGCCAGTACATATGACGCACACTGGCAATTTAAAAATAAACGTTGACTCGCACATGCATAATACATATAAAGCTCTCGCTGGTGCCAATTGCATGCGTGTGTTTTGATCTGTCATTGTGGATCATGAATTTGGTTGTTTTTGTTGACATTCTGAAGCTGAAAGAAAGCAGTATCGTGGACAGAATATGTCTGAAGACCAACTATTGGCACAACATGCCTCTGAAGCTGAAAGAAGCCTGCATTGTCGACAGAATGCCAGCATTTGCAATGACTATTCTAATTATTTTCATTTCGGTGTGCACGAATCCATGCACCGGGCCACTAGTTTTCATATAATGAAAAAGAATTGTCTTAAAAGTTGAAAATAGGAACATTTTAAAGATACTGTCATGCCGGAAGCTGGTCCATCCTTGCTGCTTGACACAGTCGCTGTAGGGAAGAAACATCTGCACAGCATATGTTTCAAGGGACCTGGCATATATGGCATACTGTTCTTAATATGTTTGCTCCCCTACTTATCGCTATG